CACTATTTACAATAGCCAAGAAATGGAAGCAACCTAAGTGTCCATCAGTAGATGAATGGATAAAGAAGACGTGGTACATATACACAATGGAATATTATTCAGCCATAAGAAGAAAACAAATCCTACCATTTGCAACAACATGGATGGAGCTAGAGGGTATTATGCTCAGTGAAATAAGCCAGGCGGAGAAGGACAAGTACCAAATGATTTCACTCATATGTGGAGTATAAGAACAAAGAAAAAGTGAAGGAACAAAACAGCAGCAGAATCACAGAACCCAAGAATGGACTAACAGTTACCAAAGGGAAAGGGACTGGGGAGGATCGAGGGAAGGGAGGGATAAGAGCAGGGGAAAAGAAAGGGAGTATTACGATTAGCTTGGATAGTGTGGGGGTGGTACGGGGAGGGCTGTGCAACACAGAGAAGACAAGTAGTGATTCTACAACATCTTACTATGCTGATGAACAGTGACTGTACTGGGATTTGCGCAGGGGACTTGGTGAAGGGGGGACCCTAGTAAACATAATGTTCTTCATGTAATTGTAGATTAATGATAACCAAAAAAAGTCAATTGTATTAATGATAAAATTATAGAGATGGAGGATAGATCAGTGGTTGTCAAGGGTTAGTGAGGTGGCTGTGGCTACAAAAGGGTAGCAAAAATAATCCTTGTGATAAAACTGCTATTTCTTGACTGTGGTGGTAGTTACATGAAGGCACGTATGTGATAAAATTGCATAGAACTAAGTATACACAAACAAATGAGTGCATTTAAAACTCGTGAAATAGGAATAAAGTGAATGGACTGTATCAATGTCAATTTCCTATGATACTGTGTTATAATTATGCAAGACAGTTACATTGGGGAAACTAGGTTAAGGGTATTCAGAATCTCTCTGTATTATTTTTTACAACTGTATGTGAACCTATAATTATCTGCCAACTGGAACTCTCATACATTGCTAGTGCAAAAAGGTACATCTACTCTGGAAAGTAATTTGGTAAATTTTCAGAGCTAAATGTGCACTTACCATATGACCAAGCAATCTCACTCCTAGATATGTATCCTAGAGAAATAAAAACGTATATTCACACAAAAACTGTACTCAAGTGTATATAGCAGTTCTATTTATAATTGTCAGAAAGGCCAACAATGTAAATGTCTTTCAGGGGGTCAATGGATGAATAAACTGTATATACAGACAACAGAATATGTACTACTCAACAATAAATAGGATCAGACCACTGAAACATGGAACAACTTGGAGGAATTTAAAAGACATTATACTGAGTGAAAGAAGCCGGTCTCTAAAAGGTTCCATATTATATGATCCCATTTATATGACGTTGTTAAAAAGACAAAACTATAGTCATGTGGAAGAGTGGTTGCCAGGAGTTAGAATGGTGTGTGTGGTGTGTGCGTGTGTGTACGTGTGTGTGTGACTTCAAAGAGACAGCACAAGGGAATTTTTTTGGTAATGTTACAGTTGGTATCCTGATTGTGGTGGTAGTTACAGGAATCTGTACATGTGTTGCAACTCATAGAACTGTGCACCAAAATGGGAAAGCCAATTTTTCTGTATTTTAATTTTAAAACAAAAGAAATATTTAAAAAGGTAGTTTTGACATTTAAATTTTATAGTTAATACATTCAAAGGGGCCATTTAGAATTTACTTTGTAACATAATTTCAGACACAACTATTTTAGAGGGTACCACAGGCTTTACTTTACAGTAGTAGACAGTATATGGAGCTCACAGTACATTATGTGAAAGTTTCCTAACTCATACTTCAACTAAGAAGAAACAATGGTTTTAATGTCAAAAGTACTCAGTAAACACCAAGAAAGTGAACATTTATTTTAGTGATCTTTACTTGAGGTATAGCCTCAGACAATACTGAGTAAGTATCTGCTAATTTTTTTTAACATAAGGAGTAGATTTAGTTTTGCTGACACATGGATAATGGTTATAATAACTATTAAATAATAAATAAAGTGGTTAAATGACCTATAAATAGACTAAAAATCACTCAGATAATTTAAAACATGAATTTTGTAACTTTTCAATTAAAATTCAATTAAAAACCATGACATTAGGTCAAATCAAAGATGATCTGCATTAGAATCAAATAAATTATGGTATATAGGGAAATAAGAAAATGTTAATTATTAATTCCATACAATTTAAGTAAGTAATCCATTGTGTAATAACTTTTTTAAAAATCCTTGAATGTTTCTTGAAGATACATAGTATTTTTAAAATGTATTCTAAATGCAACATTCAAGTCAGGGAAATGATAAATGCTATACATTCAAGTCAGCCAATTTAAAAATATTACTTGGCTATAATTAAGTATTTCTGCAAACATATAGGTTTCCAATTCTGACTATGACTATTTTGAACTTATAAAGAGGAAATAGAGGTCAGCCTATCTATGAAATGGATCAGACCTTCAGCTGCTTCCAGATGGTTTTCTGCTTTAAATCGAGCAATCTGTACAGAAGTTCCACTGGTGACATAAATCTGTATGTTCTGGATTTATTTCACATTTTATGGAACATTGGTCCTACAGTAGCTATAATATCTGCATAGGGAGCACTCTGGCTCAGCTCAATAGCCCGCTGTTTTTTTAGGACAAGAAAGCTGTAAAATTTGGCAGCTGTTTGTTTTCGGCTACTATATCTACAGAGCTTCATCAGACTAAAGGATTGTCTTCCCATCTTGTTGGATTCCTGGGAAAATAGAAAAGAAGAAAGGAAATTGAAACAAGGTCATTGAAAGTAGAGCAAGCTGTGGATGCATAGTGTACAACAAAATGTTGATATTTTTGATAAATGATTGTGAAATCCTTAAATGAAGAAATGCAAATGACTCAGTAAACTTAAAAAATATGTCATTGAGCACAAGGTTGGTTCATTGAGAAAATACATGCAAAAGAACTCTAAAATGTTATACAAATTTCTAATGTGTTACACATACATTAGGTCTTTTAAAAAACCAATGTTAACATAAATGGCTCCTGTAGAAAGTGCAATTAGTTTAGACTTGCAGGGAGAAAACGGCCAGAGGACTTTTGGAAACTTCAAATACAATGAGAATTATCAGCCTATAAAACTTCTTTCCTTAAAGGTATTTGGGATTGGAGGTAACTATAAAGAGCTTTAGAGGTGGACAGAGAGGTATAATTTGTACATCTCAGTAGCAGGGGAATATAAAACACTTCCCAGTTTCTCTGCACAGATTAAAAAGTTGTTGGGTTCACTGAAGGGTACCTGTGAACCTACTGGAAAAAATTGAGGTACAAAAAGTATTTAATAATGGATGAAGATAACTCCTCTTATGAAGACTGGCATTTAGAATCAGAGTCCTAAAATAGAAATGTAGTTTTTTAGTTAGAAATACTGTGGTGATTACTGTCCAGTTTCTGTGTGATTGGTACTCTTTGGATAGGTGTGAAGCATTTTTAGAAATACTGCATATATAAGTTATTTTGTCAGTCCCTAACAGCTAACAAATAACAAATTAATAAATTAAATACTTTATCACTACAATAGCCAAGATACGGAAGCAACCAAAGTGTCTATCAATAGATAAATGGATAAAGAAGATGTGGTACATATACACAATGGAATATTATTCAGTCACAAAAAAAGAAAGAATTCCTGCCATTGGCAACAATATGGATGGGCCTAGAAGGTATTATGCTAAGTGAAATAAGCCAGGTGGAGACAGACAAAACCATATGACTTCACTTATATGTGGATTCTAAAAACAAAACAAAACAAAATGACTAAAACAGCAGTAGAGTCACAGACATTGAGAAGTGACTGGTGGTTACTATGTGGGAAGGGGTCAGGATAGGTGGGTGGAGTGGGCGAGGGGGATAGCAAAGCACATAATATAAGTTGTTTAAAGGGATAGAAGTGCAGCATGGATGATTCTGTAGCATCTTTCTGTGTTAATAAATAGTAACTGCACTAGTTGGGGTGAGGATTTAATAATGTGTGTAACTATAGAATCACTGTGATGTATACTTGAAACCAATATAATATTGTATATCAACTATACTTCAATAAAAAATACACTTAAAATACTTTATCATAGCCAAAGGAGTGGCCCAGAGTCAGCAACCTTTCAGAGAGAGCAAGCCAAGCCTTCATTTATTCCCTCTTTTGAGGAAACAAGATGTGGATTCCCTGGCTTTTTTGCCTGGGAGAGAGCAGGAACAGCCTTTCCAATTTCAAGAATCCTTTTGAAAAATACCCTGAGTGGACAAATATGCAAAATGAACACATGTGCTTATTCTATTTCCTACAGAAACTCCTCTAAAATGAAGGTAAAGGAATTAAAGGTGACCAAAGAAGGAGATAAAGACAAAAAGTGAAAGACTGACTTAGCAGAGTAGAAAAGGCTGAAACCTAGGTGCCAGCAGAAAGGAAAACCAGCAAAAAAGCAAGCCAGTATGAACTACAGAGCCTCTGAAAAGCTCAGGAATCAGAGGAAAGTGTTATAAGCTGGAGGTAAGGGGTGAAGCTGAAAACACAGAATTCCTTGGAATCTATTTGGGTGCAGTTAGGCCCTCAGGTCTCCCCCACCGCCTCATTAAACCAGGAGACCACTGCTCCCACACCCTAGCAGGAGGCGGGAGGTTGCCTTTTTGGAGATACCAACCACTGATGCTCTAGACTTGGGACACCAGATACTGTGGATGTGGAGAAGTGTCACACCACAGCTGGGAGATTAAATAAAATTATCACTTTAAACAGTGATACAGCCAGCTTCTCCCTTACCCCTCTTTGGTTTCTGAACCACAGGCATCATGCTTATATCTCCTAGGCAGTAGATTTGAAAATTAGGCTGAAAAAACTGACCATTCTGAAGGAAAAAATAACCCTTTAGTTAGTGTGTGGGGGTAGAGGGTGAGCAGAGCACCACCCAATTACCTCACTATAAAGACCACAGGTCTACAAACCCCATCTATGCTTATGTAGTTTTTTGGCATCTCACTTTCACATAAAAAAGGATAATGAAAGATGTACCACACATTTGAGTAAAATTTCTAACATTCAAAAGCAAAAAGAATGCATTCAAGAGAATCACTAAGGAAACAGAAACAATGCAGGGAGCAGAAGAAGTCTATAACCTCTGAGAGTTGAGGGAAGACACTGCATTATAAAAAATGATCAGGATGATACTGAGATAAAGTAATCAGTGGTTGCTTGGGGATGGGGGAGGGGGACACGTGGGAGAGATGGGACAAGGGATTATCAAGAGGCACAGGGAAACTTTATGGGGTTGTACATATGTTCACTATTTTGACTGTGGTGATGGTTTCACAGGCATATACATACATCAAAGCTTATCTAACTGTGTACTTTAAGTATGTATGTATAGTTTATTGTATGTTAATCATACCTCAATAAAGCTGTTAAAAAACTAACAAAATAAATATAAAGATTAGGATGCTATTAAATTAATAATAATCACTAAGAAAAAACTCCTAGCAAACAAAAAAGGTGAAGGCAGAAATAGAATTCAACAAAGACTGGAAAATAAAGTTGAAGAAACTCTTTTAGGGAGTGGAAAAATGCAAAGACAAAGGAAATACAGGGAATAAAAGATTTTTTTTAAGAATTAAAGGCACAATTCAAGAGATCCAACATCTGACCCACAGGCAGTTCAGACAGAACAGATTAACAAGGAGGAATCTGAAAAAATAAAAAACAATTTACTAGAACTCAAGGACATGAACTTTCAGAGTAAAGAACTCACTATATGCTCAGCACAATAAATGAAAAAAGACTCATACCAAAAAGCAAGGCACATCGTCATGAAATTTCAGATCACTAGGGATAAAGAAAAGATCTAAATTTCCAGAGAGAAAATAAAAGGTCATCTACAAAGGATCGCCAGCCAAGGAGCATCTGACTTTTCAATAACACCGCAAGAAGTTTAGAAACACTCCAAAGCCTTCAATATCTGAGAGAGACTATTGTCAAACTATGTTCAGAAATAACCAATCAAGTTAAAGGTAAAATAGAGAAATTTTTTTTAGACTTGTATGTAGAGTTCCTATCTCCTCTGCACTCTAATTTAGGAAATTATGAGAGGATATTAGCCATCAAAAAATTCAAGATAAGGGAAGATCAAAACACCAAGATATAGAGGAACTGATAGAAGAAAGAGACAAAGAAATTGCCATGTTATGGTAAAGGCATGTTCCAAGACAAAAAAATCAGAGCACACCTAGGGAGCAACTTAGTCCAGATTAGAGCAAGAGGATGAAGAGCTCTGGGAGGGATATTTTCAAGAAAAAAAAAAAATGGACCTGATGAATCAATTGACATATTTGCCATTCTGAAAGGGGTTTTATTATATCATCAGAGAGTTTAGATAAAGAACTAAGGATGGATATACAGACACTAAGCAAATGGGAAAAATGAGGTGATTAACTCCAAAAAAAAACAGAGTTGACAAGAAAATAAATGTAATTACACTATAAAGCTTCAGTGCAAACTAAGTTTTACACAGTCTCTTGACAGCAACTGCTGGTTGTCCCTTAATATCCATTCTCATCTTCTTCCATAGTAATAGAATTATTAGCTGGGCCAAAGGTTGCTGGATAAGGATTACATTTCCCAGATAGATGTGGCAAGATGACTAGGTGCTGGTCAATGAAATGTGAAAAGTGATATACACAATTTCTGGTTGTACCCTTAAAGGAAACTTTGCTGTTGACTGGAATGCAGACGTCGTGGGTGGTTAGCTATTTTGGATCCTGAGAATAAAGAAAATGAGATAAAGGGAAGCTGGGTCTCTGACAACTTGGTGAGCATAGCTGCCATACCAGATTGTACTTTACCTAAGAGAGAAATCAACTTCTCTTTTTAAGTTTCTGATACTTTGGCTCTCTGTCACAGTCAACCTGCATCATAACTATTACAACTATAACACTGTAAACAGTGAATACTGTGCTAAAATAGGCTGGGGTGGGGCAGACATAAATAAGCCAAATTTTCATTTTCTGCTGAAAGAAGTCAACAAACAAAATTTAAAACTGAAATATCAAAAGAGAGCAGTAAGAACATGTGATTTTAAAAATACACACGCACACACACATACACACACACACACACTAAAAGAAACAGCTTAATAGAAGCTGCCCCTGGTGAACAGGATTTAGGGAAAAGGAGGGACAAGATAAAGGGCTTCTGTGTTTCCTTTTCAGGCTTGCAGCTTGGTACTATTGAACTTTCAAAATTATATACATGTATTATTTTGATTAAAATATAAATTTAAAAATTATTGTTTCACCTTAAACTGTTATAAACTTGGTTCCACATTGAGAATTAATTGATAGCCTGCTAAACACAAAAGTAGGACATAGATGTCTAGAGCATGAGTATGGGTAAGAAGTTGATTAGAACATGTAAGTACCCCAGACAAATTCCCATATTTAGCCATGCGTATACTGCTGAAAATCATTTCACTCTAGTGGAATTTGACCTTAACAAAAACAATGAAAGTGGCTTCACTTTATTAATATCTAGGAGATTGAAGTCAACATTTTATTTATTTTTAAGAATAAAAATAGGGTTGACAAACCCTACCATCTTACCCGCAAATTATTTAACATCTGAAGCACTCTTCGATTCCATCTCTCTGCCTCATTATTTTGTTCATTCTCCAAAGACTCCTGTTTGATAAAATATTTCATTTAAGTAAATTTACTGAATGTTTACTACTTGCCAAGCGTAGTGTTGGCTGCTACAAGATACACAACTATAACACTGGATCTTGCCAAATAAGGAGCTTATAATCTGAGAATAGAATAAGACTAACATACAAATATAGATCAGTCTTTGCAGGATTATATCTATGCTCCCTGGGCTGTCTTCTGATAAAGATCTCCAGAGGAGGAGATTCTAAATATTTATTGGTAATCCATCCCAGGGCATTGTACCTTTACTTTCAAAAATAAAGCCAACGAAGATGACAATTTTTGACTAGAACTAACTCAGCTCTGGTCAATCTGAACTCAGTTAACAAGAGTAAAATAAAGCTATGGAAAAACTGACTTGTAAAGGCCTTTATCTGAACTTACTTGGTGATACAGAAGCTCTGACAATAACTGATGTTTAGGAGTTTGTGTACAATTGGGTTAAATCCTTCCAGATTTCATGGGTGACTTGTCCAGAAAAGATCAACCCATTACTGTCATGTTATCTCAATAGATTCATTCTTTGCAGTCTTTAGAACTTAGCCACCTTCAGAAACACTTCAATATTTAAATATTATAAAGTTGAAATCCCTTCACAGGAACTCACTCTAAGCCCTTACCAACTAACACCTTAGAAGCTGAGAACAGAATTGGGCATAGGAAAGGTGCTGATGAGTCTGATAAAAAAGCAAGGCTACAAAGGGTTGGGAGAAGGAAAGTGGCACAGATTAAACCTACTTTTTAATTTTTCCTAGGCTATCTCTGACCATGTAACCCAATAGTTTCTGTGTCATCCTTATCACAGGTCCACTATTTGTCAAGGCCTCATGTGTGCCTCTGGAGCCCAAACACTTCCTAAAAGTCTTTCAATTTCATGCACTCCAAGATGATTTCAGAAAGCTCCATAATATTCTGCATGACATTTTAAATCATTTGAGGGTAAGGGTCCCCAATCCTACCAGCTATACTGGCTTCCTGGTCCTGTCTATACAGCATCCTTTCCTACAACTCCAAAGAGACTAATTTGAAAATTTGGTCACTTTAATCTGAAGAGTTTTCCAAATCCCTCTAGGTACAATTTATATTTGCTCCATTTTGGTCTGGTCTAGGATAAATGAGTTCATCCAATTACTAATGTTTATTTTATTGTTAAATACAAAAATGCAATTTTCCTAATGTAAAAAGCAATGGTTCGACTTTTTGTTAAGGATCCATGAGACTGCAGGTTCACCTAAAGCATACAGTTAACCTAATCATGAAAAGGCTCAGAAAAAATAGTCTGTGCACTTTGCTGAAGTCTGTCCATCCATCTGGACACCCTGTAGCTGAATCCATTGTGTGGAAAGCCCAGTGGATTATTAAAATAGCTGAACCTGTGCTATGTTGTGGTTTGCTTGATTATGTATGAAAATAATCTGTCTATAGAAGCAAAGAGAAAGGCAAAAAATCGACCCTCTTCTGCCTTGGCTGTATGGATGTTTCAGGCAAAAAGTTCAGCTTATTTATTCTGTCTTAGATAATCTTCAGGATTTGGTCTATTTTCCACATATGAAAAAGCAATCTAATAGTCTTGGATAAAGATAATTTATTTAAAAACAAACTAATATTAGGCATTAATAGGTGTTTTGATATCATTTACTAAGAAACTTTTGCTAAAATTTATTACAATCTTAAAAATGCCTTCAGCACTGTGGGATAAGGACTAGAGAAATAAGACAGTAATATATAGAGTCAGGTGAGTCAGATGTTATGTCTGCCTTTGCTATTGACTTGTGGCCCTCTGAGCAGACCATTTTCCTTTCCTGATCTCTAGAGGTCTTGTACAGTTACAGGTACTGAGCCATATAATATTTTGGGAAAAAAATGCGCATACTTCTTTTTTGTAAGTAAAATAAAATTTTAAAGACTCTAGGACATACCCCTAATACAGCTCTGTTTCTTTAGAGAAATTATAAGAATAACTTTAAATAGTGATTATCAACATTTGAAACCTGTGACTACCTTTGATAAACATAAAAATCTCCCACCTTTCTTTAAAATTACTTGAAGTATCAAATAAATTAAAGGGAAAGAAAGAAAGCAGTTCTAAATATGTTAAATACACACATCTTTGTTGAGATCACTAATTCAAATTAAAATTTCAGACAATAACACAACAGCTCTGAAAAATAACTTTCAGGTAAATAAAGTGTCAAATATTTAGGAATAAAAAATTTATGGACATTCTCAAGACTGTGGAAACTGTGTATATTTACCAATTCAAGTGGGCAATTTTCAGTTTCTTGTGTCAAGATGGTATTTATTGAAGAGGATTCCTCAACAGCCAAAGATACCATTTCAACAATATCCTGCTAAAGCACATTAGGGAAAGATGTAAGAGGTATCACAGAAGTAGCAGTTATCACAGGAACAATCTCATTTGGTTAAATGCTTTAGTCACATGAATGCTTATGTCTAAAACCAATTTCAAATACTTATCCACATTCTCAAAGACATTATTTCTGAAGTATTCCAGACAGGCAGCCTCTGACTTAAATGTTCCTGTCTTCCATATGCTTCCCACAAATGAAGCATTGCATGTCCCTGATCTCTGGCTGCCTATCTTTTCCCCTCCCATTTCCCTCCGCACTGCAGACCTCCTATGTAAAGTCTCTGCTGCTGAGTGGCTGAGACCACTTTCCTTTGAAGGATTTTGTGAAGCCCCAGTCCCCTGCCTCTATTCTCATGCCAGTACCAGGTGGCAGAGGAAAGGGACTGAAGGTGGAGGGAGGAAGAATGGGAGAAGGAATACTAATACCCCCACCTAGGGCCATTACAGAATTTCTGCCACCGCTGCTGGAGCTGTCACTGGCAAAGGGAAGAAAAACTGTGTCCTCTGGAAGGGGAGCAAAGACATAAAAGAAGAAGGAAAAAGAGAAAGCCAGAAATTCTCCATTCCCCATCATCTCCCTTTTTCATTGCTATCGAAGCTTTTGGCCCTTTCTTTATCTTCAGCCTGTCTCCAAACTTTATTTGCCAGCTGTCATCTGTGATTTAGTTAAGTTAGGAGATTCTTTCAACACTGCTTACTTGACTTTTCACTTTAGCTTTTTAAAATTTTAGTGAATATAAGGAATTGCATTTTATTCTTTAATACACATGTTTGTGAAACCTCATCATGTTTTCCCTTTTAATTTCTATGAATATTTTATATTCAGATATCCTGAATTTTGTAGTTACTTAGTAACATAAAAATTCTGTTTTATGAAGACTTTAATAACAATCAGTATTTTTCTGTCCCTTCAAACTGACTGTGTTCCCATTCCTGACTATATTTCACATGTGTTCACCATTTTTGGAAGCAGAAGAATGGAATTGAAAGTTAGAGTGTAAGCATAGGGTAAAGGAGTAAAAGGTTCAAAAGAATTGGTGTGCCAATCTCCTCACTTCAAGCACTTGGGAAAGTCCATCTTGTTGATACATGAAAAAATAATAAACTAAACAAGCTTGCCTAATCATAATTTTCAGCAGGTGGACTCTCAGAAATGCCCAAGCCCCAATAAAGAAGAGAGTGGTACTGGAAGCCCAGCATCTCAATATCCAGTATATTATCAAATATTTAGTAAAACACATTGTTTAATGCATAATGAAATTGTCTTTCCTTCCAAGGGCATTCAGTTTCAGTATGGACTGACTTTGAATTCCCTGAGTGATCATCAAAATACAGTAATGGTGGAACAACCCAGACAAGTACTAGTTTATTTTTATCTGGTGTGGCTATAGTATTTACATTGTCAATCAATAATGGGAAAACATTTTAAAGCACATTTGTTTCTAACTATGTTTTCAAATAAGTATGTTTTTCAAACAAGAATTAAGATTTCAAATAAAGTTTTAAAAAAATTTGGTTTGGCCATTGATCTTTAGTCTTTCAGATGCAAGGCTGAGGCAACTGCGGGTCTAAAACATATTATTCTTAGAGGTGGGATGGATGAATTTATGGTCAGAAACAAAACATAAGGCTTTTGTCTAGAGTCCTAAAAGATCCTATACTATACTGAATGTGGGGCCTAGTAGTATTCTCAGCATATAACTAAATTCAAGTATAATGATTTATTTAATGTACCATCAAATACTATTTCAGTATGAAAGTACTCATCTTGTAAACTTCTAGAAAATACTGTTTTACAGATGAAAATCATGTTTGACCCTGTGGTACTGCTACTTGCTATAGAAATTATAGAATAACATAAGTTGAAACATAAACTATAAATGTAAGAAGATAAGATATACTAGAGTCTCAATGTTCCTTCACTTCATCTGTGTCAAAACAACAATAATATATTTATGATTCTCTTTGGCTAACTTACCTCAGGGTTAATATTTTTATTGGTATCCTCATGAGAGCTACACTTAGATCCATTAATCACATCCTTCCATGTTTTGGGTTGATTTAACTCTTGCTGGGAATTTGGCTCTTCTATCACAGAGGTCTCTGAGATATTATAAAAGTAAAAATTTCACCAAAATATCTTTCAAAATTAAACTGGGAATCAGGAAAACAAAACTTCTGACAGACAAGTTGGAGGCCAAGAATTTAAGCAAAAGGTACACAGAGTTTCTTATAGCTCCCCAAGTCTCACATATTTATCTTTCCTTTGTATTTCTCTTATTGCCTCTAATCTCCATCCTCCACCAATTATCTCCTCCACACTCACTCCCACACATTCGCTCGCAAGACAGCATGTATAGTTCAAGCAAAAGCCCATCTTGGCATATTGTTCTGAAGATTTTAATAATTTTAGGAAGCAGAGGTACACTCTGCACATAAGGTGGTTTTGTCATTCCTTTAAAAGCCATGTTAATAATCAACAATTATCAATACTTCGTGTATCCTCTGAGTAGATGGATATGTCTAAGGTTAATTATATAGTTTGTTATTCTTATCACTAGGTGACTTTTCATGTTAGTTGTTTTAAAGTGAAACATTACCCTAGTAGATGTAAAAATTTTCTTTGTTGAAAGTTTTTGAGTACTGCCTGTAGGGGTAAGGGATGTGGGAAAGACTGTGATTAAGAAGATTCCACATAGTATCTTTACTTCATCTTTTTGACATAGCTTATTGGACCAACATTAATTGGCAAAGCAGAAAAACGCAATGCTGACATAACAGGATTTTTTGAAGTTCAAATACTCTTCTAGAGCTAGCCTCTATATTGGGGTATATGAAATTGGATGCCATCTTCATTTTGAAATGTAAAATTTTTGTTTCTATAACATTCCCCACAACACCAACAGAATTAGGATGTCTCACCTACTATGTTTTTGCTTCCCATTTCTTCCCTTACTGACTCTTTTTGTATCAATTTTCTTCCAAGTTTAAAGCCGGAGGACAGAAAACATTTTGTAAACAACTGTAAAAATATACATTTTTATTTGTTTTTAAGTAAAGCAATTCAATAAAATACAAGCACATATGCTAAAAAGTAAAAACTATAATTCATATACACACCCCCAGCAAATTAATTCAAAGGAAAGGGTTTTTTTCCCAGAAGTTTAAATTCTGTTTTATATATGAATGTAAATATGCATTTATTTATTTATAAGCAAACATCGTACCCATGTGAAAGGACAGAAACTATTACCATTTTCAGTTCAGCGTGAGTTAAATCCTGGGCAGGAGTTAAGAGAAGTGTGTCCACTCCTCCCTTCTTTTTCCACATCATCATTCTTCGGGTAGGAGGTGCAAGTTCCAAAATCATGAGTGTATCCTCAAAGGAAGTAAGCTGTTTATACATAATTTTGCTACTGATCTCCTTGACTGGATCTATGAGCAATTTCCTCTTTTTGCCTCTCCTTTTCTCAGCAATGTCTAAATATAAGACATAGGCACAAATGTGATTGGTTGTAAAGCTTTGTAAAATTTTATTCTAGGCACTGCATATCTAAGAAATGTCTAGCACAATACAACCTACAGAGTTGCCTTGGGATGAAAACTCCCTTGTTACTGCTGAAAAGAATGCTTCACAAGGTTTTTGCACAGCTAGAGTCAGGAGCGAATAGTTGACACATTTTGCAAAGTGCTCCTTGAAGGTGCTTAGGAAGGACTCTGTTGATCTAAGTGGACCACTGAGGAAATGTGGAGCAGAAGGTATACTGAGAGACAAGTCACCAAATTTTGAGGTTCTTTAAAATATCCATTAACACGACAACTTTTGAAACATTAATTTGTATTTGTCCAGTATATTTTCCCTCCCACACTGAAATTCATACACAAATTCCAAGTAGGTACGTAGGCCCATGGGATTTTGCTCCTTTGGGTAATTTTACCAGGTACAAAGCAGGAATCAAGCTTTTCCTTAATAAAGAAGTAAAAGGGGAAGAAGGGTTAGATGCTCCAGAATGGGTAAAGATCTGAGATAAGAGAGTAAAGAGGATCAGTAAACCCGCCCGCTGATGTGCCTCAGTAGAATCCTGGGAATACTGACAAGATCACAGAGGCTATGTAGTCTGGTACAGTGGGCACCACAGACTGGTGTGCTGATGACCAGAAGTTCACTTTTGCCTGCCACATCCCTTCCTCAAAAGTTTGCTATTAGTAGGGCAGATAGGGAAGCTATGCAGATCTTGAAGGTTTGCCAGCTGGGTGGGGTAGAGGCTCAGAGTTGAGTTAGTAAAGAAAAAAAACTTGAAGGCTTTCTTCCTTGTAAGCCTGAGTCTAGAAACTAAAATTCAAATCAATTATACTATTTACAACTAGGATATTCTTGTAAGGCCAAATTATATATTAGATTCATATTTATTGTTTATTCCTAAAAACAGGCTTGAAATGTAAAAGGGCATAGTGCCTCTCTCCTGATCCTTTTATTCTGCCTTATTTTTTTATTTGCATATTTACATATCTTCCTGACCAGTTTTAAGCTTATTAAGAAATTAACTATGTCTTTTTTATTTCTGTGCCCAATGCAGAATAATAGCTCAATAACTACGGGAATTGAACTCAATTTTAAATTGTCCAGTTTCCCAAGCTGGATATATGGCTTGACCAGGATTGAATATATGAAAAGATCATCTCAAATTTACTTTACACTCTTTCCCTATTGTATTGCAAATGTCATTACTACATTGACTACCTCCTATAATATGTCATAGATTATTCAAATACCTCACAGTAAATAAGAGAGTAGTGTATCAAACATAAAAATAAAAACATGAATGAGTCTGACCTGAAGCATCAATTGGGTCAAGCGTAAATCTTTCTTCTTCATTTAATAATGCGGTTTCACTCTCAGGTGGACATATACACTCTGGATTTTCTAGTTCTACTAAACATCATAATAAAAGGAGTTATAAAAGATAATAGTTATGTTACAGACTAGAGGCCTACATGAGAATTAAAGTAAAAAATAAACTAATTGAAAATTTATATTGCTAATTTGGAGCCACATCTGAATTCTCAGAATCATGTATTTTTCATAGAGTTGAAGAGGCTCAGAGATTATATGGTCTGGGACCCAGAGTGTCTAGGTGAGTCAGGTATCATCACCTGCAACATCTAAGGCTGGACTTGGAAGTGACTACAACTACAGTCCCAGCAGAAGTGAAAACAGTGGTAGCAACCACAATACATGACATAAATTTGATTATATGGCTGCTAAAATTTTGTATTCTGTTAAATCATTTAATTATAAATGAATAAAGAACCATAACTAAATTTTTATTTCCTATCTCTTTTCATATTTTAAATTTCTACTGTTGTGTTAGAAAGCAAATGTACCATGAAAAAGAGTGAAGAATCAAAATGGGGCTAATTGTACTTTTAATTCTTACGGAAAATCAGACTAAAAGACCTCAAATCATCTGTGGTAGCCTCACATGAGTTTCAAGTAGAAAATATTCCCCCATTTGTAATTTTTCTCAAATTGTGCATAGATTGTCAACTTACATTAATGTTAATATGGTTTTTAATATTAGTAATTAATAATACCATATTAATGTATTTAATATGGTATTAACATTAATAATACCATATTAATGTGAAACAATGGTTTTTACAATTAACATGTCATTTTAATGACTTAAAAGCATAGTACTTGTCAGAGTATTTAAATATGCTCTCATATCAAAGAAACCCAATCCCGGTTAAATAACCATCATTGTACCTTTCTCAGAATCTAGTTTCCTAGTCTATGTTGTCCGGAGTCAGACTAAGAATGTCTGAGGACAATATTCTTTATTATTATCTTTCACCATATTATATTGCCACTTAAACCTAGAAGTTTTAGTGCTTAATTTGAATATTCATATCTGTTCACTTTCTACACAAAAGAACATTTCAACATACTCATTATAGTATCAGAAGGCTCAGAAGGCAGGGAAACTTTTCTGTCCAAATTCATGTCTTCTAAGAGGATATTCTGATCACTTTGCAAAAGACTGTCTTGAAAAACACAATTAATACTTCTGTTATACAGAGCTAAATCTGTCACTTGTTCACTAAACATTTATTGACATCACTGTATGCAAGGTTTGTGAAGGGATACAAAATTAAAGAACCCTACTTAATTAATTTGATTGGTTAAATAGACTGTCATATTTTATTCAAGATAACATAGAATTTTATGTTTCATTTCTTTCCTTTATTAAAAATGTATTTTTAGATGTTTAATTTCAGGAAATGTTTACCAAACTAATACCAAAAATAGTAGCCTTGTTACAAAGCCATGTTTGGATTTCAGATCAAGAAGTAAAAGATTTCAAACTCCTTTGATAGAGATCTAAGGTTGAGCATTGTTTTCTCATAATTTTCAAATTTCAAGAAGTTTGCATAACCAGCCTTTTAACGTAAACTAGGCAACTTTAAAAAGACTTGATATACAGCAGTCAGTATCTTTAAAATATGTGTATTTAAATTTTCCAGTTTTTGTCTGCCCTGTTTCTGTGATTATTTTATAACATCATAAATAAATATAAAATTAGAATATAAAATGCTTGACAGATCCTTTAGAATAGCTGTCCAACATTTTCTATTAAAGAAAACAATGCTTTCCAGTATATGATCTAGTATACTTCATGAAGAATATACTAACTTTATTCCTTCCCCTCTAAAAATTAAAACAATTAAACTTTTGTAAAAATAAAAGCAAGCAGTTTTTTACAACCTCCATAAAAAATGTGTTTAAACATACAGCTATTTACTTAGACCCAAACTAAATTTTTAAATACACCATAGACTTGAAAACATGTGTAAAAAATATGTTGATTTATATGACAGAAGCCATTTTAGTTTGATCTAATAAATCTACTAATACATGAAAGTAATTTGATTGAAATATCCAATTTCTATATAACCAGACAGCATACCAATCATTTCTCCTGCAGCCCCGTCATCTCCAAATCCATCTCCACTGTCATAGAAGAGAAAATTTTCTCCATTGAGGCTTCCAGAACTATGTTCAACTGAAGGACCACTGGAATTCAGCAGAAAGTTGTCATCAAAGAAGCTCTGTTTTCTGAGAATTTCAGATTCCTCCCCTAAATGTATATATGTACCATTAATAGTGAGTCATAGAAACACAGAATTTTAGGGTTAGAAGGAAATTTTACAGGGAAGAAAAAATGAAAGCTTAAAAACTCATTTGAATATTCAACTAAAGTCACCCAGTTAATCAGTACAGACTGGATTTCTAGTCTAATGCTTTTTCTAATAATAGGGAAAAAATGCCATAACATCAGGATAGAGTTTTTAGTTGTGTTTTGGTTTAATAATTTTCCAGGAGGTTATTATTGGCAGTGGAATGATTTATTCTATTTTAGGCAGGTTATGTTCTGGTTGATGAACTATTATTTCATATTATTTCAGGGACAATGCCTATGTTTTTTATCCATAATGTGGGCTTGGAAAATAAGAAGCATATCTGCCTTTGTAGGAATGGAAAGGTAGGTAAAATATTAAAGAATGGGTTTACAGCACTCATTCAATAAATATTTATTGATTGGGTATTAGGCAATATGCTAGGGGTTGGAGGTACAGCAGTAAAAAAGACAAAACCCAGTCAGCTAACATTAACTGAGTGCTTATTTTGTGCATTATATTATGTAATAGAAGATACTATAATAATTCTCATTGTACAGACAAGTAAACACATCCACAGAAAAGTTTCATAACTTGTACAAAGTTATACCATAATGAATGACTTCAGAGCCAGGATCTGAACCCAGCATAGATCATGATAACTTCAATGTTAGAATTCTGACTGGTAAAATATTTTACAAAATGGGGACTTATGAGAGAAAATTCCTAATACACTGACAACTGCAGATAAAATGAACATCGTTTCAAATTAACCTACTTCCAGATTGGCTATCAGCACATGCATATTCTTTCCCTTCCTTAGGTTTGAATCTCCAGGTGCAGGAGCCTGAAATTCTACAGTTCAGAGGTCAGTCATTTCTTCCCTCCCTCTAACAACCCATGTTAGTGCTAGTCGGTAAAGAAAATCAGAAAATATCACTCATATTTAAAATTCTTTTCTAGGCCTACATCTTCTAGAAAGGAAAAGTTGTAAAAGGCAACCTTCATTTTGCTAGGCTAAAGAGTTGCACAATAGGAAATATTGAGTATTCCAAAAAAAACTAAAAAATGTGTTCACATCTTCCAAATGCAGCTTGCTAGCTCCCAAAAGAAAAATCAGCATTGGTCAGTAAGATTATAATATTTATAAACAGATTATATTCTGAGCAAAGACTATCACAAGAACCTGAGATTACTAAAAAAATTGAAATAATCATTGTCTTTAATCTTAATATTATAATACACAATAGGATGGATTAATATTGAGCATTTATTAATAGACATAAGGTTGAGCTAGTTCTTGAAGGAGGGGGAAACCATTTAAGGTGAAAAGGATTGCCGGAGGGAACAAGGGAAATAACTGTATGATACTGCAGGTGGTATCCCAATTTTACAAATAGGGGAGTAAGTCTCAGAGAAGTTAGGCAAGTTGCCCAGTATCACACAGCAAAGTCAAGAGAAAGTCCAGATTTAAACCTGCCCAGTAACTGGTCTACTAAGAACATGTTCTTCCTACCTTTTTGAATTGTAGAAGACAGAGAACTGAGAACTATATTGTATTGGTTGGCTCATAAAACATTTGCTTGACTATTGCAAAAAGTCTGTATTAAGAGTAAAACAAATGGACTTGATAGAAGAAAAAGGTGATAAATTGGTAGAGGGCCTTAAGGATAGGTTGGGGCATCTATCAGTAAGTCAGAGCAACCCAAGGTGCTTAAGCAGAGGAATATGACATGGAAAGAAATGGAATTTAAGGACAATTGCTCTTGCAGGGAATATGAAATGTAGGAAAAGCCTGGAAGATGTGCTGGATAGTATTACAGTATGCCAGGCCTTTATTACTGGTGAATTGTATTTGTGGCTAGGGGAATAGGAAGAAGAACCTGAGAGACATTTCTGATTTTTTGTTGTGGTGGTTAACCAGCACTGGTAGGAAGCTTATGGAAAGTGTAGATAAAAGTGATCCTGAAGTTCCAGTCCTAAAGAAGAGTAGTAGTATTTACAGGGAAATGGGCAGTAGGGAATATAATTAACTCTTTGCTAATGTATTGCATTTTAAGATTGGGAGTTACAGCCATAAGAGATCCATACTACTCAAAGTATGGTCTGTGAATTGGTGCTAGTCCCCGACAAAAGTAAATACACAAATTAGAGGTAAATGTTTAGGAAGTTTTCTACTTCAAAGAGAAATTTTATATGTGTTGAGTCTAATAACAAAAACTTGAGGTATATTTTTTGATTTTTAAATTTTTAGTTTTTCTAGTAATTTTCCTTATCTTTTACAAAAGTTTCATTCCATAATAGATGGAAAATTGACAACAATTATAAAACTGGTCCTGTACCACAGATCATTTGAGAAACACTGCTACAGGTTGTAAGAGTTAGGGAACAAGAGTAAGGATAAGAAGTAGAGGTTGAGATGTAGCTTAAACATTACTGCCTTGACCATCCTCCCCTACCTAAAACAGATTTAGACCATCTTCTTCCTATACTCACTGCTTTAGGCACTGTAAGAAAGCCAAAGATGAATATGATGCAAATATGACCTTTATGGAGTTTTCAGATCAATACAGCAGGTATAAAATATCATGGTATAAGACAGAGAGTGGCAAATGCCACAAAAGGAACAAATACTATATCATTAAATCACACCATATAGGTTCAGTTCTAAAATGTATTCACATTTTAGTTCAGTTTGTTTCACAATCAATGTGTAGTGAGTGTGTGGCATTTCCTACTCATTCCCAAGCCATTTAGAAATCTTATTTTATAATTGATATCATTATATATTAGATAAAATATTTTGAAGGCACTGTATACAGCACACATGTAAAGCCTTGCATATATGTTAACTACAGCAACTGTATATTTGCATGTCTCTCTCCCAGCCTGAAGTTCCTCAAGGGCAGGAAATGCTTCTTTAAACTTTGTATTGCCTGTGCCTATGACAGCTCCTGACATATTAGTAGGTATTCAATAAATGGTTGTACACTGAGAAGGGAAGTATAGACTGAATCTTGGCACTGACACCTATACAAGAAAAAGGCAAGGACAAACTTATTGGGGGTTATATTTATAAATCAAGTGATTCATCCTAAAGATATCTCTACTGGCCTAGAAATAGCTATATCTATTGGCATCATTTCAGTATAAAAATGCAAATATAATTGACTATGACTTGTAATTTTAATTTCTCAAATATTCTCACCAAAGCTCCTGGCTTGGAAAAGTAGATCATTGGTATAATCTTCTTTAAGTGTGATTTCTTCTGGTCTGCTTTGGTTCCGAGTAAAGTGTTCTGAAACATCAATAGCACTATGGAGAAATACAAGATGGAGGAAAACATGTGAACAGAACACAGTGATTGTGAAGTATACTAAAAAAAAAACAAAAAAACCCTAAAACAAAAAAACAAGTTTTATTATAAAAATAAAGAACTTTTATTTTCTTAATAGTATTACTTACTTATAAATGCTAGCTTATAATACATGCATATATACAAACGATCTCCAGGTTACCAAACCCAATGGTCAATTCTCAGTCCTTATTTGAACAGTATTTGAAATAGATATTCACTCTCCTTCTTATGGAATATATTCTTCTCCTGGCCTCTGGATTCTACTCTTGATTTTCTTTCTATCTCATGGCTGCTCCTTTTCCATCTCCTTTGTTAGTTCTTTCTCATCTCCCAGACTATTAACTATAAGGAATTAACTATTAACTATTAGAAATGACTCAACACTCTCCTTAGATCTCTCTCTCTCTCTCTTAAATCTACACTCACTCCCTTGGGCGTCTCTTGACTCATGGTTAAAGTTCCATGTATATACTCACAACTCCTCAATTATATATCCTATCCACACTTCTTTCCTGAATTTCAGACCCAGATATTCAACTATCTTCTTACTCCCCTTGAATGTGTAACAAGTATCTCAAAACTAAATGTCCAGGGACAGAAGCCTAGATGGCAGCATGAGGAGAGCAGCAGAAATCTCCTCCCAAAACTATATATATTTATTTGAAAATACAACAAATACAATTATTCCTAAAAGAGAGACCAGAAGACACAGGACAATAGCCAAACTACATCTACACCTCCGAGAACCCAGCACCTTGCAAAGGGGGTAAGATACAAGCCGCGGCCCATGGGACCAGAGTGCCCTTCACCCCAGATCCACAGTGGGAGGAGAGGAGTCAGAAAGGGGAGGGAGAGGGAGCCCAGGACTGCTAAATGCCCAGCCCTAGCCATCCGTACTGAGAATGCAGACACACAGTGCTTAGTATGCTGGATACTAGGGAAACAGGACAGTAAGACCTGTGAGCAGGTCACCACAGCCGGCGCCCCTGGGACAAAAGAAAAGTGAGTGCCCTTTGAAAATCTTGAAGGGACAGGAGCCTCACAGCTGGATGGAAGTGCCCTGGCGCAATCAGCCCAGTAACTGGGAATACTGGGGCACTCCAGGTGCCCCAACCCCCTGGGCAGCAGTGCAGCTCGGAGGCCCCTCACAGTGATAAACAGCCTTCTGCCCATTCCCCCTTCGGCGCGACTCCACCATAGAGGCAGTGGCCACGCCCACAGCAACTGGGCAGAGCTTCTTCCACAGCAGCCAGCCAAGAATCAGACACCCCATCTATGCGCAGCTGCCCAGCACAGGGCGCTAGGGGTCGCTGTTCTCCCAGGAAAGGAAGGCCACAACTAGCAAGAAGAGACATTCTCCCAGTCGACACATGCACCAGCTCCCCACAACTACCTCTATCACCATGAAAAGGCAGAAGAAGTTGATTCAGACCAAAATAACAGAGACAACCTCTGAGAAGTAGATAGACTTAACCAATCTACCTGAAAAAGAATTCAAAATAAAGGTCATAACCATGCTGATGTATCTTCAGAGAAATATGCAAGAGCTAAGGGATGAAGTCTGGAAGGAGATTACAGAAATGAAACAATCTCTGGAAGGACTTAAGAGCAGACTGGATGAGGTTCAAGAGGCAGTTAACAGAATATAAATCAGAGAACAGGAACACAGAGAAACTGACACAGAGAGAGATAAATGGATCTCCAGGAATGAAACAATATTAAGAGAACTGTGTGACCAATCCAAAAGGAACAATAACTGCATTATAGGGGTACCAGAAGAAGAAGAGAGAGAAAAAGGGGTAAA